ATGGGGGAAAATGACAAAGATGAGATGAAAAGGAACCAAACAAATTTTGAGAAAGAACATGGTCTTACTGACAAATCAAAAATAAATTGGATACAAGGGGAAAATGTACAATACGAAACAAGAAATATTCATTGGCATTCAACCGTTCCGACTACCCCTGTTGTAGATTTGCCACCACCAGTTGAATTTTTTACCAAATATGTTCCTGATGAGATACTACAACAAATGGCTGATATGACAAATTTATATGCTACACAAAAAAATATTGCTCGATTTCCACCTACAAACTTGGATGAAATCAAGACTTTTATTGGGGTCCATATTGTTATGGGAAACTTACAGTTTCCTAGAGTCTGCATGTATTGGCACCGTAGTATAGGAATACCATTAGTAAAAGATTCCCTAAGTCTGTCTAGATTCTACAAGTTGCGACAGACAATACATTTGGTCGATATTTTGAGTCGCAATGAAGACAACAAAGATAGGTAGGTATTTAGATAACAAATTTTGGTATTTTTTTTATATATAATAATTTATTAACAATCAGAATTTCATATTCTCAAAGTTAATTTGATAACAAGCACAATAACAAAAACTATAATATTGTACCCTAATATGGCGTTATGAGGTACATGACCCAGCGATTTCACCTCAGTTTCAGCGAAGATCTATGGGCCATAATCTTCGCAATCTTCTGTTGTTTATTGGCTGCAGTATGTAAATACCACGGGGCATTTGGTATGGTGCGTAGAATTTTTGATTGCGTTATTTGGATTATTTTTGTATTTGATTTGCTGGCACAACTCCATAGTTCGATTCCATATGTCCATATAGGTCTGATGACTGTTTTATAAATTAGCAGTTTGTTCTCAATAGAGAGTTGAGATTTTCTACCAATAAGCCAATTAATTTATTTCACTCTCAACTCAATTTGTTTTTTCTTCTTCAAAATTTGCTTCAACTTGCTTTATTTATATTGCTTTGTTACAGATTGTGGAAAGTCAGATGTCTGTACGAGTCAGTAAGAAAAAGATGCCAGCAGCTACCACTAGAAACTAACTTGTGTGTCGATGAGCAAATAGTCCCATTCAAGGGACAAATAAATATAAAACAATATATGAAAAACAAACCCAACAAATGGGGTATCAAAATCTACATCTTGGCTGGCCAGAGTGGACTGATATATGATTTCTTGATTTATCAAGGTTCAACAACGCCCATTAATCCCATTTACGTAAAATATGGATCGGCAGCTGCTGTAGTTATGCAACTTAGTGAAAGAATATCTGAGAAAAACCACGGCCTATTTTTTGACAATTTCTTTAGTACCTATAATTTGATCCAATATCTGGACTCCAAGTCTATATACTGTATAGGAACCATAAGAGTTAACCGGTTTGCCAATCCAAAGTTACCCAGCGATAAAGAAATGAAAACAAATGGGCGTGGTTTTGCTGCTACCGCAATTAGCAAGGACGGTATTGTCATCACAAAATGGTATGATAACAAGGCAGTACTGACAGCATCTAACTTCGTTGGAATTGGAGAGTTGGATGAATGTAAAAGATGGGAAAAACAAGAAAAGAATATGTGCAGATTCCCAGGCCTGAAGCTATAAGACGATACAACAGTAATATGGGCGGCGTCGACAAGTTGGACTTCTTACTAAGTCTATACCGATCCTATGTCAGATCAAAGAAATGGACTGTGAGAATGATCACTCATGCCATTGATTTAGCCCTGGTAAATTCATGGCTTGAGTATCGCACTCAAGCTATTCTTTTGGGAGTAAACAAGAGGGAAATTCTTGATTTGTTAGCTTTTCGCCAAGAAGTGGCCGAAAATCTAACCTGCAGTAGACATGCTCCTAAAAGAGGCAGGCCTTCAAAAAGCTTCGAGGATCCAGGTCCCTCCAAAAAGAAAAAAACTGAAATAAGGCCTCTAAAAGACCTTAGATTTGATGGATACCATCATCTTCCACAGTATGATGATAAAAAGGAAGCCTCAAGATGCAAAAATGAGGGGTGTAAGAGCAGGACACATATATTTTGTCAAACATGCAAAGTTCATTTATGTATTTTAAAGGAAAGGAATTGTTTTTCCACATTTCATACAAAGTAAATGTTATAATTTATATTACTTTTGACAATGATCTGATTTATAAGAGTTTCTAATAAAAAATTAACACTCAATGGTTTTTTTTATTTCCATGAACTTTGTTTGTACATTGTGATGGACATCCTGTACTGGAAGGGTGGGGGTAGTTAAATTCTTTTTATGTAAAAAAAAATAATCTATAGTGCAACAGTACTTTGTATACCAAAAATTAGAATTTTGTAATCACTCTAAAGGGAAGTGATAGTGAAAGGGTTAAGTTTGTTAAGATTAAATAAATATAAAATTGATGAGCAATAGTCAAAATGAGGTTGAATAATTGTGTTATATACTGTTATTTTTAATTACTATTTATAACTGGGAATAAGCCACAATTAAAGATAAAAATACGTTTATTGACGTTTCAATTTCCAATTCGGAAATCGTTCTTTCGAATTGGAAAAAAATTGAAAAAGAACGATTTCCGAATTGGAAATTGAAACGTCAATAAACGTATTTTTATCTTTAATTGTGGCTTATTCCCAGTTATAAATAGTAATTAATTTACAATGCCACAAGAAAATAGCTTCAGAACTGTTATTTTTGTTTCCATTGATAAATTTTGAGATATTCTACTCAGAAAGTAAAGTTTTTTTGATATTTTTTTATGAACGTACTCGAAGGGACTTTTAAAATTCAGAGTATTGTCAAGCTGGAATCCCAAATATTTAACTGTTGTGACAATTTCAATTTTTTTATTATTAATATTTAAATTTATGATTTCAGAATCAAGCAAGCTATATTTATGTTTGGTAGTGAAAATCATTGCCATTGTTTTTTTCACATTCAACTTAAGTTTATTCATTTTTAAATATATATTAACCATATCTAAAATGGTGTTCATTTTTTGAATAGCTAAATCAAAATTTTTATCACTACAACAGATTAGAATTCCATCTCAAAAATTAATTTTGGGTGACACAAACTGTCACAACATCGCATGGGGATCCAAAAAAAAACAGATAAAAATGGACGAATATTATTAGAAGCAATTAATAACATAAAACTAGTTTTGCTAAACACAGGAACATCTACTAGATTCAATGCACATAATGGCACATTTTCCTCCATAGACTTATCTATCAGTAATTTAACTTTAGCTCCATTCTTACAGTGGAATACATTGGACCACCTATACGACAGAAGATATCAGTGATACAATAAAATTTATCAAAAATTGTCAACTGTATAACAAACTGTAACATAGCATAATTTTGTATTTATTTTTGTACTTTTCAAAACTGTTATGCAAATTTTAATAACATACTAATGTAATTTTTCTAAAATAAAGATATACCACCCCGCTAATAACCCTAGGGGTTGATGCGGTAAAAAAAAACATGTACAGTACCATAATTATTCGTTTCGTAAAAGACTGTCACCTTTACTACTTAGTGTAATTATATTAAGATGTTAATGTATCCTTACTTGTATATAAACAGATTGTATATGTATGTAAACATAAGCATATTGTAATAAACTTTGTAAAAGTGTCAATGGCATATAGTTGCCTAGACATTTTAATTTAAATAAAAATAAACAGTTTAATAAACACAAATTTTCATATTACAAATCCGCTTATTTAAGACATAAATCTTTATATCATATCTACCTTAAACACTATGTATACTCTTAAAATTTTGTTATTTAACATTATTTTATGAAACACGTTATACTTAAAACAAACTTTAGTCTTAAGCACTTTATAAAAGGTACACTTTATTAGCATAATAGTACTCAGTTTACGATGTAAACAAACTTCTCTTTGATGTTAGGAGAGAATTCTCTTAATAAGGTGAACTCTAAAGACGGCTGCAAAATTTTAAGCATTGTGTAACTTGCCGTTACATTCTCATACTCCGAACAATACCTTTTCATCGGTTTCCAAGTAATAATTTTAGTCAACGCAACGTTCCAAACTAGAATAGAGTAATTAGATGGTTTCGTAGTTTACTACGAATGTCTTGAAACTAGTAAAGATGAAATCAAGATCTTGTTTTCGATGGGTTTAGTATAACTTAATTTAATAATGGTTACCATAGTTGCAACTGTTCTCTCAATGTGCATTCAATTCTATTGTGTATTTTAAATTATATGAAATCTTTACTAACATTCATTAAGATAATCAATTCTAATTACGTAAGGGTTGTTATAGAAACATACTTACACTATTTAATTTATCGATAATTAAAACAAACAAGAGGTTAATCTTCGTAAATGGGTATATCTAAAAAACCCTTAAAAGGGCTACATCAAAAAACAAAGGTTTTCGCAATAAAACGTTCCATCATCAGGTTTAAAATTGCAAGGTTAACATGCCTGAGCCACCAAAATATCAGGTTAAAAACCCTTTAAATTACATGTAACATACACCCATGGTTGAAGTGAGTTCCAGTGTCCGGAGAGTAAACCTCTTCAAATAGCCATGGAAAATACAGTTACTTTGTAGTAATAGGTTCCATCGTTCCGGTAACAGACAGGTAATAGGTTCCGGTAACCTATTACTTTTGTCACCTATCACCAGTTATCATAATATAATACGTATTTTTGAATAAAAACGAATACTTTCTACTGTTTATAGTTTATAGTTAAATCATCTATTTTTATTTCATTTTTAGCTCGTTAGTTATTGCTCCTACAATATTATTTGCATTATCAGACACAATTATTAGAATTTTGTCATTTAGGTGAAATTTATTTATTATTTTATTTATTTCTAAAGCTAAGTTTGGACTCGTATGGGAAGAGTTCATTACCGAACATTCCAGTAAAATAGATCTCAACTCAAAATCGTCTGATATATGATGAGAAGTTAGAGCCAAATAATTATCTACGTTCGTAGAAGTTCAAGTATCTGTAGTTAAAGTTGCATTTGTTATTGATAACACTTCGTGTCTAACAGCATTCAAACATCTTTCATATTCTGCTGGTATCATGCAGCTGGAAATAGTTTTTCTTTTTGGCAGGACGTAGCTGGGATTAAGGGAAGTCACAAATTTTTTAAAACCCCTATCTTCAATAATTGAAAACGGCTGGTAGTCTTCAACAAATAAAATTAATAGAAGATTGTCCAATTTTTTTTGCTGTGCTTTACTAATCTTTTTTGGTTGTGAAATAAATGATCGAATACTTGGTTGATTTGTTGATAATTTACTAATCGAACTAGTGGAAGCGATATTGTCTATATTTACAATTTGCATTTCACTGTTACCATTTCTAGTACTGTTCGAAGTGGAAGGAACAATGACATCTACATTTGTGGATTCCTTTTCACCAGGTCGAGGTAAAGTAACAGTTGGATGTTTCCGTAATAAATGTTTCCTAAGATTTGAGACAGTAGTTTTATAGCTTTTCGATTGCCCACATAAACCACATGTAGCAATTTTATTCACATTATCAGTAATATTAAAGTAAGACCACAAATAACTTGTCTTTTGTTTTTTGCTCATTGTGATTTTAAACAAAACAAATAACCAAAAAAAAATAACCACTTACAATAAACTACTTAATATTATTAACATACACTATACAGGCACTCGCGAATTTATTTTTACATTAACTACAAACAACTACACTAGAAAAAGATCAAGCTCTTTGTACTCTTTTTTATTTACATTTTTTTTACTCATCTACTCTTTTTTGTGATACGTGGTATACAGCCAGCTACAGGAATTTTTTTTCCTTGTGGATTTTAATAATTAAAACATTTAAATTTTTTAAAAAAGTGATATGTATCACTTAGTTTTTGTACACACTTATGACAAATCAATAGATGGAAAAGGGAAGTATTTTTAAAATGTATAAAAGATTTTAATTTCTAGCTAAGCGCTTTGGGCTTACAAAGCCAGCTTCGGAGCTATGATCAAATATTAAGTATCCCACTCGGAGAGTTCATCTGGTCAACAGAAAATGCTGTTTCTATTTTTATTTTATCTTTTCTTTTTTAAATCAATGAAAAAACCTTACGAAGTACACTGGATTTTTGTAAAGTTTTAAAATTAAAATCTTTGATATCACATTAACCGGCAACCCAACGTAAGGGCTTAAAATATCGCAAGCTTTACATTTGATGATAGGGAAGGAGTGACGGAATAATTACAGATGGTCCTGAGATTTTGAATGAATTTTAAATTTTTTGAATTATTTTGACAATTTTCTATTTGACAAAAATTTGATTTATTGATTGATCGTACTTATTGAATATTCATTGCTTTGAATTATTTGATTTTATTTAACAATCGTATGTTTAATATTATTTTACTATTCGTATTTTTGATACTTTTGTTGAAAATTTATTACATTTGGGGAGAGATAAGTGTCGTGTCTGCAACATACAGATTGAACGAAATAAATTCGGAACATAGGAATATAATGTATTTCGGCTCAATTCTGTTGTAGGTGGTTGGCCAACAAAATATTGTCAAATAATTATATTATAAAAATCCAATACTTCAGCGGACTGCTGGATTCTGAACTCATAAAAATTGAAAGCTACACATAAATCTACGATTTATGCTGTCAAACCAGTTATAGTCCAGTAAATGAAGCATTTCAGCTCGCAATTTTTTCGTGCTCCCTGGATTGACTTGAAATTTAACAGAAGGTAGGTAATAGCCTAAGGATCAAAATCTATATCGAACCAAAGTGCGCCAAGGCTTAGGGGGTGGTTGCCACCCCATCTCCGGGGTGAATTTTTTTTTACGTTTTAACTACTGGTTTCAATTAAAAAAGTGATTCTAAACAAAAAATGTGCTATACGTTTTTTTTATAAAATGATATTTTTCAAGTTATCCGCGATTGAAAGTAATAACTTTTAGACGAAAAAATCCACGTTTTTAATCGATTTTTCGCGAGTAATTCGAAAATGGTGCATTTTATCAAAAAAATTGTAGAGAACAAATTTGTAGCTTTTAAAAAGACAAATACAATTCATTTTTTAAAATGTTTTTGGGATATAATAGGAACCGAAATACGGCCTATCAATGTTCAGCGGTTTTCTTCAAATGCCAAATTTGAAAGATTCAAAATCAAATATCGGGAAAATGATGCATTTTTGGAAGAAAACTCACAAAACCTTTTTTAAAGAGCATAAATAGACCTATCATAAAAAGACTCTAGCACAAAAATTGAGTGAGTTATGATGAAAATAAGGTCAATACCTCATTTTTTACGAAAAAATCGATGAAAACAACCCCCTAACCACCCCCATAATTAAAATAGATCTTCACCCTTCTGAAATTCCCTTTGTACATGTATTGTTAATACGTCCAAGAAGTTTGACCCATTTAAAATGCTTTGTGTTAGAAAAAGTACAGCTTAAAGCGAGAAACGATTTACAATTTCATATTTTTTACCCTTCTTTTTTTAAATATGCCCGAAAATACTGAATATATGAAAAAAATATAAATTACCAAATTGTAGCTTTTTTAATGACTAAAATTATCCTTCATTTAGATTTGTTGTACAATGAATATTTGGTGAGATATAGCCGTTTAAAGCATCGATTTACGATCAAGCACCATCTTTTTCGAGCCCTTTAAACTCACCCTATTTAAAAACCAAGGGTTCCAAAAAGATTTAATTCACAGATCCTTGTAGGTCTTAAAAACCTCTACAAATCGTTTTTAAAGAAACACTCTACCGTTAAAAATTAAAAGAAATACGTTAAAAAAACCAGTGAATTTTTTTCCGGAAAATTCTATTAGTATAGTACAGTACATTTCGAGAAATAAGAATAAGAATAGAGAAAGCCCGCAGTGCCTTTAACAATATGAAACAAATGTTGTGTAGCCGTAACCTAAGCCTAAAGCTGAAAATACGAATGCTTAAATGTTATGTTTTTTCGGTCCTGTTGTATGGGGTGGAGGCGTGGACACTAAATAAGCAATGTATGGGTAAGCTGGAGGCATTTGAGATGTGGGCGTACCGAAGAATGTTAAAAATCTCCTGGAAGGATAAGATAACTAACCAAGTTGTATTAGACAGGATGAACAAACAAAAGGAGGTCGTATTGAGTGTTAAAATGAGGAAACTACAATACCTGGGACATAATACACGTGGGAATAAATATCAACTGTTACAACTAATTATGCAAGGAAAGATTGAAGGTAGGCGTAGCATAGGTAGGAGAAGAATGTCGTGGTTGAGAAACCTCAGGGAGTGGTTTGCCTGCACTTCCATACAATTGTTCCGAGCGGCAGCCTCCAGGGTCAAAATTGCCATGATGATAGCCAACCTTCGTAGCGGAGATGGCACGTGAAGAAGAAGAAGTACATTTCGGAGCATAATAATCTACAAAACCGGTATATTAGCTAGTGGGGCGTTATACATTCGAAATTTTAAGCGTTCTTATTTTGAAATCCCATACAACAGAATAAAACATCTGCTCATATGTCTATGGCTTGGCAATGAAAATATTAGAGCAACAGATTGGGGATGGTATTCCAAAGATGGTTTGTTATTACCCGTACGCATGAACAAACAACCTGCACTCGATGAACTTTTGAAAATTATTTTTTGGCAATGCAAAAAAGGATGCGGTGTTTCATGTGGGTGCAGAAAAGTTGGTTTATACTGTAATTTTACTTGTTCTGGGTGCTCAGGTGAAGGGTGCAATAATAGTCCACCAATAATGGAAGATGAGGATGACATAGATCACGATGAAGATGTAATTGATGACGAATAAAATTAATATTATAATTGTTTTACCTATAAATGTAAATATTTTGTACTATTTATGTAAATGTATAAGAATATATGGTGCCTTTTTATGTTGATAAATTTTTTTGTATTTAATTCTACTTTTTTCAATTTATATCTTATAAATTAGTTTATAAAAACTGCAATGTTGTAAAGGGTGATTTTCAAAAGTTGAAAAGTTGCAAAATTTTGGCAAAAAATTATTTTCACCTATAGCACTCATAACAATTGATTTTTAAGGGTTGAAAATGTATGAATTTGTATTTTAAAGTATAAAAAAATCAATATTTAACTAATCCAAACTAAATTTCACTCATCTTAAGATTTATAATATTATTTTACAATTTTTGAAAATTAGGGGTAGTTTTCATCCCTAAGAACAATCAGGGTTCATCGGCATGACATAAACTATAAAGCAGAGGGTGAGTTGAGCTTAAGTCCAAATTTTTATGCAAATTGTTCCAAGGTGAAATCATTTTCTTCGCATTACTAATTTTTTTATATTAATCTCCAGTAAGGGTCGCTTTTTAAGGGTTGAAATATGATGGAACTTTATTCAAAAGCACGAAACTATCATTATTTGATGAATTCAAAGCAAATTTTACCCATATTCAGGTTTAATATGTTATTTTATAATTTTTGACAATTAGGGGTAGTTTTCACCCCTAAAACCCTTCAGCGCACTTCGGTTCGATATAGATTTTGATCCTTGGGCTATCACCTACCTTCTGTTAAAATTGTAACTGGATACATGCAGGACGAAAAATTGCGAGGTTTTAACTTTTTTCGAGATACATTTCCTGAACTATTATCGTTTCCTTAGACAAACCCGTCTTACGCAAACAACATTGTTGTGAGACAGATAGTTGAACGATATTTTATACAATGTCTATACCCAGGTATGGATTTATTTTTGTCCAAGTTTTATATTGGTCCACTATTTCAAATGCAGTTCAAACAGACATGTATTAAATTGTATGTTCCGTTTTAATTTGGTTCAATCTGTATAGAGTGTGGTAAAATATCACATTTGGCGGGGAGAAAAAGAGTAACAAAAAGAAAAGAAACAACATATCTGTCACAAGAAGACAAATCAAATAGCAGTAAGGGAAGGAGGATAACAGAGAAGATGAAACAATTTTGGAAGAAGGATCGGATAATGAAGGAAATGTTACAATAATTAAGAAGAGAAAAAAATTATCAGGAATAGATAAAAATATTACAACTAATGCAACTCCAGTCACAAAAAATGGAAGAAACAAAACAAACAATAAAAGAAAACAACAGGAATATAGAACAGCGTTTGGAGAATTATGAACAGAGAATTAAACGATGTTCAGAGGAGATAAAAAGAGAAATGATACAAAAGATAGAAGAGATTAATGAAATTAAAAATAAAATGGGAAAACAAGAAAAGAAAGTAAAAAACAAGGTGAAGGAAATCAAGATTGTACAGAAAAAGGAATTAGAACAGTTAGAAGAAAAATTTGAAATGACGCTACAAGAAACAAGAAAGAAGTAGAAGGAGATTAAAGCAAAATTAAAAACATATTGCAGAAATAAAACAACAAAGAGGAGGAGAGAGAAAAGAAGTTATTGTCCATAGCACAAGCGAGGCGAAAGTACAATTTGGTGGGGACATTAGAACGAAACACTCGTTCTAATGTCCCCACCATTAGATTAAACTTAAACAATAAACTTAAAAATTTAAAAACCAAATTGCAACATTTGGATATTTTGACGATTGCAAAGAAATAATTAGGAACCATCTGAAAGAAGGAGCAGCGTTATGGTACGAAAGCTAAGAGGATGAATTTGAAAATTGGACAGATTTCGAAAATAAATTTCTCAACTATTTCTGGGGGGAAAATAAACAAAGGGAAATTAATCAAGAACTACAAAATAGAAAGTATACTGAGGAAATGGGGATATCTGAAGAAAGATATGCATTACATATATACAATAATTTAAAATATCTGGAATACAAATATTCTACCGAACAGCTGATAGAAATGTTCAGCAGACATTTTGAGGAAACTTTGGAGGATCACGTGATCTTAAGAAACTATCAAGATATTGATAGTTTATGCCAATTTTTACAGTTAAAAGAGGCGAATAGAAGGCAAATGAGAAATAGAAGACAGAACGACCAATATAATAGACCGGAAAGAAGATACCAAGCAAATTATGACTTGAGAAACCGATATCCCAGAACAACAAACGAATATAGGCCGAAAAATTACAACAAGTACAATGGACAACAAAGTTACGATAACAGAAACGGCACACAAAACAGAACATATGAAAGGAACAATAGGGACAGAGTTGCACAAAATCATCCGAATAGAAATATTAACAAACAAAGGGACGAGAGAAACAACCAAAGCTTCCAAGGACAAAACAGAAGAGAAATGAACTATGTATCCGTAGAATGAGAGGAAGAAGATGGATGCAGTGAACCCAGACAGGATTTTTAAGAAAGCATCCACTAAATAAACGTAAAAAACTTTCTGGTATATTTGGTCATCCGAAAGAGTTTATACAGTTGGCGGGGAACGAAAGACAAAACTCTAATTCAAATTTAATATTTTTAGATGCATTTATAAAAAAAACAAAGCGATTAAAATTTTGATTGATTATGGATCGGAAATATCATGAATTAATAGAAATTTAGTAAAAGAGTTGAATTTGGACAGATTTCTGTATAAGATTCCTAGGGTTGTTTTAGTGGGTGCGAACAATAAAAAATTGACGACAGTAAACGAAGGTTTGGGAGTACGGATCAGAGTGGGAGATAAATTCTATATTATGCAATGTGTGGTGGTCGACATTTAAATAATGATATGATAGCGGGAATAGATGAATTGAGCGAAAAACACATCATGATTAGTTTTTCTGAAAATAAATTGGAAATCAGAGCAGAACCAGACCATAAACAAGAGGGACAAGAAACAGATATGACGAAAATTGTTGAAAGGACAAATGAACAGGGAAACCATAAAGAAATCAATACGACAGTAGCGAACAACCTGGAAATGCAGGTAATAAATCAAGTTGGTTTTCGTTATACTGTGTGTCCTATGCTTCCGTATTATTTCTTAATAACTAACACATCTAGAAATGGAAGTTGTTGGTTATTCTCCCGTTCCATAGTAAACTGTATTTTTTGGATGGATATTATTAATGTGTTGTAGGAATTCATTAAGTTTCTCATCTTCATGCGTCCAGATAAGCCACAGTTTGGGTTTATACTCTGCTGTTTCTATTGCTTTTGATTCCATAGCTTCCATAAAAAGGTGTGAAAAAATATTACGGGTGACAGTGGTGAACCCATCGGTGCCCCTTCAACTTGTTTGTACGTCTGGTCCTTGTAGATGAAATAGGTGTTGTTTAAGCAGTGCCTTATCAGGTTTAGTGTATCCTGTGGTATTGGATATTTTATTTTAAACATACTAGTCTTCTGGGTTGAACCGCGCCGATATCCATTGAGCCGAGCTTTCGACAAGTTAAAAGAAATTTAAGGAAAGCTCGTATTATCACAACTCCGAAAGTTACCAGCTACAATCATCAACAAGCTTTGTACAACGGTCCACTTCAGATCAAAGCTGATAATTTACAGATCATCTTAACTTGAACAAATATTAGGAAAATATAAACTCTAAAAAGTTCTACACTGATTTACAGGGAACTGAAGAGACATTTTGTGTGGCAGAAGCTTGAAGGTTCTGGTGAAGAACGTTTATAATCTATGCCAGCACATTCAATTTTTTGCATGATGATTGTACCACTAAAAAAATTTACTGATTTACACGGTTGAGCTGAAACAATTTGTTTTAAATTGAAACATTAAATTTCAATTTTCAAGAGACTTTTTCTATGTGGAATAAATCACACGGAACTATCTTAACAGTAATTTTTATTACAAACAATTGTGGCTTAATCTCATATATATTATACAAAGTAAAGAAAAGACTGCAAATATGGGCTAATCTTGTAATATGGGCTAGGTAGGATTTACAGCTATTCGTTGCAGATCTCTACATTTTGACTATTGCAAACGGTATTTGGCAAAGTTAAACTATCACCGTAGCAATGGCGCCACAGTGATAGATATTTTACAGTTAATAATAATTGTTTGTCGGTTGGTGTGAGTGTCAAAACTGTTTCGGGTAAGTTGATAAATTTCAGTATTTGAAAATAAACACTAATTTCAAAAAAACGTCTGTGTCACGTTGAAGCTCTATAATCAGTCTTTGATATAATGCTAATAAGTTTTCTTCAAATTGACTACTTTTATACATAACCTCTTCTGTTATGCAAAACAAGCGTGTTTACAATATGGGCTATGTCCCTGTTTTCATTACGGACAAGTGGCCCATATTTAGAACAATGTAAAACATACTTCAATTGTTTCAGGATGTCAAACCAACAGCTGAAAAAAGCTAAAAAAAGAAAAAAATGGGACGAGAGAGATATGGAACGTGCAATTATAGCTGTCAGGCAGCACGAAATGGGTACGCGAAAAGCTGCAAAAATGCTTAATGTATCACGTTCTACTTTGCAAAAAAACTTGATCTAAAGCCAATTGAAGCTGCTCAAATAAAGTTAGGGTGTAAAGCTGTCTTAGGGAATGATCTTAAGGACGAGTTATTGCTTTATATTTTGGAAATGGAAGTTAAAATTCATGGATTAACCAGTAAAGATCTTAGGAGGATGGCGTACGTCTTAGCTTACAGGAACAATATCAACATCCGTTTCGAGGTAATACGGCAGGCAGAGCCTGGCTGAGGCTTTTCGTGCAACGCCATAAACAGCTATCAATACGACGACCAACGGGAACATCATATTCACGAGCAAGAGGCTTTAACAAAGAAAATGTCGCATCCTTTTTCAATGTTCTGGAAACAGAATATGACAAACAATTTTATCCACCTGAATGTATCTTCAATGTGGACGAGACAGGTCTTACGGTTGTACAAAACAAGATTGCACAGGCAGTAGGCTGAAGGGGGAAACGACAAATTGCATCGTTAACTTCTGCTGAAAGGGGCTCTCTGATAACCGTCACGCGTCGTGACGTCGATAAGCGCTGCTGGCCAATTCATCCCAACAATGATGATATTCCCACGTAAAAATATTCACCAGCAACTGATGAAAGGAGCTCCTCCAGGTTCCGTCATGGCAGTACATCCCAGTGGATGAATACAAAGCAATATTTTTACAAGATGGTTTTAACATTTCATTGAAACAGTGAAACCCACAAAAAAATCACCAATCCTGCTTATTATGGATGGTCATTATAGCCATACACGTAATATAGATGTCATAGATTTAGCTAGAGATAATCATGTCACTATAATTGTCTTGCCTCCCCATTGCACCCACAAACTCCAGCCATTGGACAAAACTTACATGGGTGTTCTTAATGCTTACTACAGCGAAGAGATCCGGGTCTGGTTGCGCCACAATAATCGTCCACTAAGTGCATTTGATGTGTTAGAGCTCTTTGGGTGAGCTTATTTGAAATGCCAAAGTGGAGAGATTGCCGTTAATAGATTTAGAGCTACAGGGATTTATCCCTTGAATAAAAACATATTTATAGATGTCGTTTTCGTGGCAGCTGAAATTGAAGCAGAAAATACTGTGACAGCCGCACCTGATGATGCGAGTGATGGGGATGATAAGGTGATCGTCGTTTCAACCGCTGCTGTCAATTCAAATGAACCTACAAATTCTGACGATAACTATCAATTTTGAGAGCACACCAGATTGTCGTTCCAGCCACAATAATTTATCATCTAATTCTCCCACTTTTCCATCTGGGCCTAATAAACAGCTTTAAACTATTCCTACAAGTAACACACAGCTTAATGCTATTTCTGCAACTAGTTCACAGCTTGTCGCTATTCCCACAACAAGCTTTTACAGAAAGTCTGCCACGCCTTCCGGAAGACCTTGTGCAGAGCTTGGTGTAAAAAGAAAATTATTTGAGAAGAAGCCCATTCCATCAATTTCTTCCACATCTGGGTCTTCAAGAACATCTCTGACAACACTATATGATATTTCTCCTGTGCCATTATTGAAGAAAAAACCTCCAATCGTGGGCGTAAGTCAAGTAAGTGTTCAGTGATAACCTCTTCACCTTACAAAAATAAACTGATCCAATCTCTCAACAAAGACAAAGGGAAGCAAAACGAAGTAGGAAAAGGCAAAGAAAAAGAAATAAAAAAAGGAAAAAGTAAGCAGGTTATCAAAGTCACAAAGAACCAAAAAAAGAAATCGGGTTCTCGTAGCGAGGATGAAGAGGAATATGTGCCTGCAGATGATGAGAGCGATTACAATGAGTTTCCTTCTACACAGTCTACACAAGACGCAGGTGATGTAACGTGTATGTTTTGCGAAGCACTTTTTTCAGAGGATATTTTTGGTGAAATATGGATCAAGTGCTTCATGTGCCATTTGTGGGCACATAACGAGTGCGCTGGGGCCGAAAAAGAAGAATATGTGTGTGACTTTTGCAAATAGATTTTTCCCCATAAAAAAAAGAAACACACACGTCATTGTCTATGAGTTATTTGATATATTGTTTGCATTTTAAATATTAAAATATATTTTTCACGCATTTATCTCATTTCACACAAATTTAAGACATATTTTTCGGGGTAGCCCATATTTAGGATCATTATTCAAACGGCGCAAAAGTACAATTTTTCATTATTTGTACGTTTAAAACAGTTATATATTTTTTAATCAATTTGAACTTTGGGCAGGTTATAAGTAACTAAATATAGGTATTCTTATGTACCTTTGGAATTGAAATAGAATTGAATTAGAATTTTTTTTACTAAGAAGTACAAAATGGGTAGCCCATATTTGCATCCTTTCCCCTATGTAATAAAAATTCATGACAGAAAACAATTCTCTAAAATAAATAACGGAGCATGCATCTACTAATATAGTGATTTACAGTTTGTAAATATACGATCAGACTATCACATACTTTACAGTAAGCTAGCGTATTACGTATGGAACTAAAAATATGCGAAACTTAAAAGTTATACGTTGTTCGGTCTAATAAAAACTTCTTTCCGTAAACTTCAGCCTTTGGTATACTAACTTTCTCATTTATTACATCATTATTCACAGGATTCATCCACTGCATAACTAATTCGAAGTCACGTCGTTACAAATCTTCTTCTTATAATTCACTATCTTATGGAAACCGTGTCCAAACTTGGAAGTATTCCTCAAGGCGGCATATTAATCTTTCACATTCGGTACGTGCGACGTCAACAGCGACGGGTGTCAAGATATGCCCGACGTGCATGGCGTTGTCTAGCAGTAAATACAAATAGTACTTACTAATCTAAACTGAAAATACAAATTTTCAACAATTGGAAATTTTAACTAAACTAAAGGTAATCAAATAATTATACAACTTATACAATTAATAATTAAAGATATGAGATGCATGAATACAGTTTAGAATAAACTACAATATAGAAATTAGACCGACAGCATACAAAAAAAAACAAATAATTGTGTTTATAAAATTTGTATGAATTCCAAATAATAATTTAAATATAGGGAAGTCTTGTGTTTGCGAGTATTTTTAAAATACTGGCCATTGGTATATAGTGAAATAGTATCTATCTTTAATTGGGATGAATATAAGTACAATTAATGTAAAGGGTGTTTTTTTAAGTACAGAAATGAAAATTGGTAACACTTTTTTAACTGGCGGCCATTTCGACAGCTGACAAGTGATTTATGTTTAGTTTAGTTTGGCATTTCAGCATGAATACACTGATGGCTTAAAAACCTTTCCAAATTGTGCAAATTTAGTTTGAAAATCATGGATTTGTTTAAAATAAGTATAACGTTCAATTTATGGTTAATATAATCGTCCATCAGAGCAATTAGTTTGATTAACCAAGGAACCATTTTTGCACCACGTTTACTCTATCGATACGTATGACGTCTCTATAGATACGCAACTATAGAGACGTCATACAGTGCATACAAAAGAATTTGTTGATGTAGAGCGTAGAGCGTAGCATAGAGTAAGACCGGAATCAGTCTATCCGCCATCATGCACAGCCGTTTGAGGTGTCCATCCAATTTATGAAAGATGTTGCAGAAAGATCTTGGTTTGCGTGCTTACAAAATTCAACTAATGCACGAATTGAAGATACACGATCACCTAGCTGGCCTAGCTGGGAGTAGATTCTGTGAATGAGCCTAAAACGAGATTGCCGTTGATCCTGATTTTCATAAGCGAATTTTGTTTAGAGAAGCTTACTTTTGGCTAAATGGCTATATCAACAAACAAAACTGCCATACTTGGAGTAAAGGTGACCCTTAAGTTTATGTTGAGAAGCCATTTCATCTAGAAAAAGTAACTGTTTGGTGTGCTTTGTGGGCTGGTGGAATAGTTGATCTGTACTTCTTAAAAAGCGATGCTGTTCAGAACGTTACAGTCAATGTTTACCGCTATAGAGCCATGATTACTGACTTTTTAACTTCTTATTTAAACAAACATGATGTGTTTGTGCCACCATTGATTTATTGAAAGAGAATTTGGTAACTGCATAGCTTCACGTTATCGATCCGCAAATTACAATACATTTTTTTTATCACGATCGTGCGATTTAACACCGACAGACTACTTTCTTTGATGATATGTGAAGTCGCAAGTGTACTTCGATAAGCCTGAATTAGCCGCGACGATGGAGTACTTGGAGAATAACATCCGCCGCGTTATTACCGATATATGTCCGCAAAAATTGAACCTTCGGATTAGACTACGTCAGAACCA